ACCTTAACCTATTCTCTCTTGCAAGAAGAAGAGTAAGGGGGGACCTAATACAAGTCTTTAAGATCATGAACGGTCTCTCCGGACTTGAGTTGGAGGACATGTACCAGTTCATCTCCTCAAGTGGCACTAGGTGACATAGTTTAAAGCTGCAACGTAGTCTTGTAGGGCTTTTAGCACCGCGATTGGTCTGAAGCTATGACGCGCCTACGTATTCAGTCGTTGGGGCTTATGATGAGGTCTTCTCAGGCAAACACGAATTGAAGAGGAAGTCGAGTACGAGCGTATGAAGTGTATGTGACCTGCAGCGGAAATTGTACAGAGAGCAAGCGCACAATACAACTCACCGGAAATTGTGTCAGGGTCGAGGTCATAAGAGTTCTCGAAAAGGAGGACAATAAAACAAAATAGGGTCTTTACATTAATCACGGGAATGGCGATAGAAAATGAAAAGAATGTTACTACAGGCTGGACATTCGAGCCAAGTTCTTCATAAGTCGCGTAATACCTTACTGGAATAGTCTACCAGAAAAGGTGGTAAGTTGCTCGAACGTCATCGCCTTCAAGAGGGCATTGGATGACTGTTGGGCAGTTTGATGGTAAGTACCTATTATTCCTGAGCGCCATTGCACAGGAAATGATACTGCACCTTACTTACTATTGAATCGCAGTGTTGGAAGCCACAAGAACAGTCAACAACACATCAATCTGGACGCAAGATTTGCCCGTGTCACATATCGTTCTGTGCAAACTGAACTGAACTGAACTGGACTGGACTGGACTGACTAACCTTTAGCGGCGCGCATTCAAAAATGAAGTTGTTACGCGTTCATCGAGAAATCTCTAGGGGTTATGACTGGCTTGTGAAGCAGATCCGTTTTTCCGCTCAGGCTTACTCGACATTCCAAAAGGAAAGGGTCAATAGCTATGGTAGGTTGAAGTTTTTGAAGGTTGATTTTTCCAGTTGTATTCAATACTAATAGAAGTCCGGAAAAATGGCCTAACCAAGCTCTCGGTCCGATCGACGCTGTAAACCCAAAGTACCCGTTGCCCGGTGCTGTTGGAATTCGCCTTCTCGCGAAAGAAATTAAAAAACAGCCCAAGGAGTATGCTCCTGCGATCCATTCACTGCCCCCTTTGCGGGAAGAGAACTACGCCAGTGTCTTGGTCGACACCCACAATGCCACAGAGGTTCGTTTTATTACTTGGCATGGTAATCTTTTATCATGAGGCTAGAATTTAGCGTTTTCGTTTTACTCGATGTACTGATTTGCCTTGGAAATGCATTTTCCTGTTAACATGCACATATAAGTGATTTTTGGGCTATATATGGCGTTTCGTATTTTGAGTTTTAACCATATTGAAATCCGGTAACCTTCAAACGAGATTTTGGAGTCTGCCTAGCGTCAGTGACCTGTAGACATTCTCTTACTATCATTGGCAGTTCGAACCCTCGTTAAAATATTTACACTGACATTCAGGCAGTGCTATTCTAAGGTTGTTTTGGGGTTTTCCTCAACCGTCTCCCGGGTGTCGCATTTCTAACCTACAATAATCTTTTCCCCAAGAACAGCACAATCGTGGAATACCCCCCTTTCGGTCTTTCTTCCAACGTACAACATCCTTGTTTTTAAATGCAGAATCAACAAGCTGGTTCTAGCCTAAATGTTCCCCATACCTTCCCACTTACAGTATATCTTGGGATCATGGGATTTATCCCTCTTACTATATTCACTTTTGTGTAACAAGATGAGTCGAAAGTCGCCTTCAGGTTGAGGAAAGGGATGTGTTCTAGAATTTGGGGAGCCTCGAAATGTGGTTTGTATAACCTCAATCGCGTCTAGACAATACCTGGTTCGTATGCGTGCACGTGCAGAAGACAATCGACGGGGTGTAATGTCGACATTAATTCATTGAATCCTTTTGGTTTTTGGGCTGAGAGGCAAAGAGAGTTCTCCGTTTCGAAGGCCGGTTCTCAACTGTGCTTACATTGTTTTGAGGACATCCGTATCCAGCGGCGTTTTTGTGGTTATACGGACATAACCAATATGCACCAGCGCTTCGTTCTGTAGCTGTTGACCCGTACTGAGCCGTCGACTCACCCCTTTCAGAATGAGCAAACCTCACTGGAGGTGGTCTTGGTATAAAATGTGCGACACAGGTAAAGAAGTAATATACGTATACTGGCAATCCTGATTGAATATGTGCTATCAGTGGTGAACGGCATAGGTACACCAAACAACCGATATGTGTTTTTACGCATACAAGGTATACATACGGAAGGGGCAGATCACAGCTAAGGATACCAAGCATGTTACGCTGTCGGTTTTAAGCTGTTACATAGCGGTAGGCCGTTGTGAGCCCGAGGCTCACCCATCGTGTTCATCACTTTTCACATTGGTTTGGTTACCCGCTACTGTTCGTACTTGGAACGGCAAGTGATAAAAATGGTAAGAAGTAATCATAAAGTTAATTGGCACGAAGTCCAGGTCAAACAATAAGTGTCTATCGGAATTTACCTTGGTAGTACTTATGGAGGGCTATCGCAATGTATGATTCACCGGTTCAAGCTCACCTGCCACCTTATGGTGGTTTAGTCTAGTAGGCGCAATTCAAATCAAAGCTAGATGTTACAAGTGATGCCAAATACGCCCCTCTACAATGTATGAAATTTAAATTTGTGAGTGAGCAACCGTAGTTACCTCATCTTTACTCCCGCGGTGGTCCCATGAAATTCTTGCATTGCTGTAACCAGCTGTGCTGGATAATCTGTTTTATTTTCCGCGTTTGTCGCTTCACTGTGTTACAGGTCCGGTGTGGGTATTCTTATTTTCACTGGGCCATTCTTGGACAGTGGGACATCACGTAATCATCAAAGAATTGTACGTTCAGAGTGATTTAGCTGCCTGTGTCGCAAAGTTGATCAACTTTCTCACTTGTAGGGAGGTTGAAATTCGGAACAACCTAATTATGTAACGGTATTCTACTGTGTGGTTCTCGGGTTACATTGTACTAAGGTGTAAATAACTGAAGACAGAACGGTCGTTGACAACCGAACATTTTGGTTGACTCAACCTCAGTTGAAGGTTTCTCTTATACGTCTTGAACCGGTGATCTTCCGGATAGGTACCGTTGATCAGCGGTCCATAAAAGCTCCCAAACGGATGCCTCTGTCACTTATTCACGTAGGATCTACTCCCCGTTGCTCTGTCAGTCATTATTTGGGACTAAAGGCTGCAATCAGGGTTCCCAAAAAACGCTCTTCAGCTTGGCTGCCACGAAGTATGCCATCATCTAAAGCTTCAGGTTTCCATCCGGAAAACCCTCTTAGAACTCTGTCTATTTTATTGGGGCATACGTTATTGTTCATAGTGAACATTGTCGGCGCTCACTGTTATCGTTCCAATTCTTCCTTGCTTATTGTTCTCTTCGGTGCGTTCAGCCAGGTCCCGTATTTGCACAGAAGTTTCCACCTTTTCCTCCTCAGTTCTTTCGATAACTGTATGGTAATTGGTGTTTACGTTTTGGTAACAAAATGTTTTTCTCCTCTCAGTTTACTATGAGCGAACTTGTACGGTTAAGTGTTCGAAGCCTTTAGATTTTATATAGTTTACTGCCAGTTTGGTTTCGTTTCAGTAGCTGACTCGCATTTAATTGGAGTGCAGAAATGGCGCATTTTTGATGAATATTTCTATTTTCGAAACCCCTACTATTTTCAGCTCAGCGATCCAAATGCTACTTTGATCCCTCGAAAGTCAGAAAACCTAGAATGTTCAATTCATGCTCTACCCACTTTGATCAAACAAGGTATGTTGTGTTTTCCCTTTGCATTCAACTTTTCAGATTTGGCTTCCATTTTTCCTTCAAGGAAATTCGACGCCGCACCTCTGACGGCGATTGTTTTAAGTCATCGCACCACCGAGGGTTTAGATCAGTGGAGTGATATGGCCATATCAGAACGCGAGAGCCTCGCGGAGTCGGTATGTGTTTGTGCTCCGGGTATTCATTTTGCTTTTTCAGTTTACTCAATCAGCTATCGATATCTGTGCATCCCTGAAGGAACTTGGTTATTGGGCTGACTTCGTCAATCCTTTCTCTGGGTTACCGGTGAGTTTATCTGTTCGACTTGATCATCATTTTTGTCTTAGTATCTCGGTCCTCACGGCGAAGACGCCTTAGTCGAGACGGATGAACGAATGAAGTATTTCGGTTTCGAATTGGATGATGCATTTTGCTGCAAAGTCTTACGTCATCCACGATGGAAGCACTACGTATTCGCCGGATTGATTTTCACTGACGCGCCGAGGGACCATCCTGTGCTCTCTCATTTTTGAAGTTCATAAAACTATGAACGGTTTTAGATCAGTCACGAATGGAGGTCGTTAGCCTCTGACCGCCGAACTATCTGTGAATCTATTTTGCGGTTTTTCAGTTTATTGTCATTCAGATATCTAAATATACAATTCCACCACACCAGTCGTTGTCCGAATATCTTGCTCCGACACTGCTTACAAACACTTATTTATGTTCTTTCAGGACTTCTTTGGAATCGAAGACGACATAGCAAAGCGATTAAACGAGCAGGGGAAAGCTAAGAATGTAGACAAGTACAAAAGTAATCGTTTTGTCTTTTTATCTCTAGCTTGTTCTAAGATCTAATAGACGAGCAATACTTTGGAGACATGGATGCACTCCAGAACAGATCCAATAGACAAAGTGCGATACAGGACCACAGATCTATCCCGTCTCACCCGAATGAGTTGGAAATAGGTAAGCCAGTAAGAACAAGTTTCACACAGTGAATTCGGTAATGGTCATTCTCCATTCTTGGTTGTTGAATCGGATCAATATTGTAGCTGTTGCCGCCGTACCCGTGAACTGTAAGATTTACCATCTGCGCTCAGATTTTCAGCATAAACTAATCCCAATAACATGCATTTGGAAAAATAGTTAGCAACGTTGACGACAATATCCCGTGTTCATGACAAACATTGTTACCTCCATTCAGCCCACTATCGTGTTTATTCCGTGGTATCTGACCAAGTGGAGCATCTGAGTTATGAGCCGCAGCTGGTGGCTGCAACAGCCCCTCAAATCGGTCCACGCAGCAGTTAGCATTGATCTATTCTTATGCTTATATGCGTGATCCAAACGTGATACAGTGCCGTCTAGGTTATAATAAGCTGTGTCAATGATCTTGCTCAACCGTCTTTCAAAACGCCCTGGTTGAAAAGCTGAAAACAATCCATCTAATAGCATTAATCATCACTGATCATTTCTCAGGAATGCTCTTCATTCTACTGACCTAATGAGTTTTGGGCCGGCGCGCCATGTAACACCCTGGATTTCCAAGGAGTTTGCATCGTCTTCATGTGCTTCGATCAATCATCAGAAAACGTAACAATACACTACTCGTGACGAGACATTTGTTTCAGTTTCAGTTTGCACAACTGATAACCATGCACTTTAGTGGACCAGTTTTGGTTGCTGAATTTTGGTCGCCCTTTTGGATGAGGCATAACGTGAAACACAGGAAAGTTGAAACTAGAGTCGAAGAAACATGAACTTAAGATGAGCCTACACGGGGGAGGGGCGGGGGCAGGAAATCTGAAAATCTCCACATTCATCAGAAATAGAACACACTGACATCTGTTCATCTCTTCTGCATCACTAGTGGGAACGCCTTAGGTGAATTTGAAGTAGTGTTAAGTTAACCGCTTACCTAACCACAGCCACTGGTGGCATTTCGCACGCTGAGCGGAACGCCCTAGCTGACCATCAGGAAAAATTCTCCCACAGTTCTTTCAGTACTCATCCGTCGGTTAGTTTGGGTAAACCCACCTTTTGCAGGGGGACACTACAAGGATCTCAATGTGCTTGGAAGTCAAAATGCGCCTGGTTTGTTAGGAAACTGGAAGTTTTGTGTTCCATGATTTGTAAACCGGACTGGTCCTTTTGTGTAAAGAATCAAGTATTATCCCAATTTTCAAGACGCACCCACATAATAACGGCCAACCACAGGTATATGCACCTAACCCGGATTAGGTCAAGGCTGTTAGCGTCGTTTCTCGCTGGTTATACAACACCGGTTGTGGATACAAATATCAACCACCGAAAGCTGCTAGAGAACCACCGTTCTTTCCATAGACTAATGATCACTGTGTTCCCAGGCATCCGCGCAGTCTTCGGTTCAACCGATAAGACGGCGCCACCAAACAGTCTTTTGAGAGGTGAAACAGCCGAGAATTATCTGTCGATCCTAAGAGTTGTATCGTAAAAACTCAGGTGGAGTTAAGGCCTACGACGAGCTTTTAACATCTTCACTGGAGTATGATAAGCCAACCTTAAATCCTCGTTCATTTTCAGCAATACAAAAGAGGTTATTCTGCGGAATGTTTTATCTCGTCTAGCAATCTGGTATTGAGGTTCCTCCTGGAACAGAGTTTTAGACCACGAATATGCTGATGACAAATCCTTCCTGGATGACGATGCACAGGTAGTCCAACATGCTTTTCACCGCTTGTCACGGTCTGAACACAAAAAAGAATTCACAATATACGTTATCCGTGCATGAGTACTTCAAACCCAAACTAGGAATTGCAGCACAATCAGAAATAATTCAATCGAAACGAGACAAGTCCACAATCGATGTTATATTATCACACGCTAAGAGCCGCTAGGCGGTAATAGTATGTGCTTTGAGTCATCCAAGTGCAAATTACTAGCAAAAGACAGGCAGGAGACAGTGTTTGCACTAACCCTTTCTGATGATCAGATATGAAAAGTCGA